TGCCACCACCATATACTGCCTCCTAGGACAGCTCTCCACCTTTCTCAATGATTTAGCATATTGCTTATAGCATTTCTTGCCTTTGTTTGGTATCCTGACATTATCTGTGCAGAATTTAAATTTAAAGTTCACGCTAGTTAGTCTTCTAAAATATCTTTCCTTTTGAGTTCCCGAACTACCTCAATTCCAGTGCATTTCATCTCCAGCCACTCTCCATGGACATGTTTCATCATTGGAAAAGCTCCATCTTCAGTTCTTCCAGGAAGTATAACCCACTACTCTTGTCCCTTCCTGCTACTTACTGGTTCAGTTCATCAACTTTATGTCTTTAGTTGTACTTAGGAATGATCCCATTGTCAGCTAGTGATATCATAATGCAAAAAAGCTTTTATCATCATAGCAAAATCACTTGATTCCTCATCCTTTAGCAGCAAGAAGGGCTGGTGAGCTTTAGTGTTCTTAAGATGGGTCAGAGCACTATATATCTGGTTTACTTGCAGAAATTATAACTTCAAACTAAACTTTTGAAATCTGTGCACAGTACTGCCACTTTAAAAGATTTCTAATGTAAGTTGCTGAATTTCAGAGATGCACGCAATGAGAGTCACTGTCAACAGTAAGCAGGACAGTAACTTAGTGGATGGGCAGCTACATGATAATGAATTCACTGACTTATTACATTAAGATGTATTTTCTAGGAGCTGGGTTCACAGACTCATTAGATTTTAAAAGGGGCCAATGTCCCTTTCCAACTGTCAAGCTGGGTCACAGACCCTTTAAACCCATTGTTTACACTGTGTCACAGACCCCCCAAATGCAGACTGGGTCACAGACGTCTCATAAGCAGGTCATGAGCTAGGTAACTAGAAAGATCCTGGGAGCCAATAGCAAGGTTGACATGCTTTATTCGGATGCGAACTCAGCCCCCAGTCTCCTCAGCAGCAGGAGCAGCAGCAGCAGCTTACAGCAGATCCAGCAGCAGCAACTGCCCCTGGCTGCCCCCCGGAGGCATGCCAGGGGCCCTGTGGATGAGAGCCATTTGTCCTTTATACACTTAAGTCGATAACCCAGAGACACCTGGGTGCAAGTCAGATAACCAAGGAACACCTGGGTGCACATGCACAATTACATCAGACAATTGCCAAGAAACACCTGGACGCATGTGCGCAGTTAACATACGTACATCAAAGAGGCTAGGTCATGCTTGGCAAGATTCCGAACAGCCAAGGAAGCCTAACCATTTTTTTTTCATTTTCCTTATACCAAAGTTAAGAACCTGTGACTTACAGACGGCATTATATCCTTTATTACTTAAGAATATTCATTCTCCCCATCAACCACTTATGTAACACATTCCAGTAACCAATTCTTAAAAACCTATAGTGCACTACTGAAGAGCAATCCGTTTAAAAAAAAAAAAAGTACCACTCTAAGTAAATAAATAGAATACAAACATATCTTACCCTCTCTTAACAGACTCCAGAAATTGAGCATTTGTTGGATCACTGTAAGGTCTCAATTCCCCATCATCTAAACTGAAACCATTGCTCCATAGTTTCAATAAAATCTGAACCTTTCAGGCATAGGAAACAAAAGAAATACAAAAGTCCATCTCTGCCAAGCAATTTTAAGTTTCAAATGTGATATCTCACAACATATTAAACCATTTACTTCATTTAAAATAGGGAGTTATTTGTACTATTCTTTACTCACAGTTAAAGGCCTAAATAAAACCATGTGTGTTTGTTTAGCAGATTTGTATTTAGCTAGACAAATTGACAATGGTTGCAAATACCAAAGGTCCGGCAGCTGGACACTGGCCTTGAGATACAATTACTGGTGGTTCACTGAGAAAACAAACCCACCGCTCCTTCCCTTCTCCTCCACTGCACCTGTACTCTTCTCGGCTACAAGCTTAAATATTCATGCCAAGAATCAGGACAGAATTGAGAGAGACCTTCCAGGAAACTAAAAATGTTTAAAATGAAATTATAACACCAAAATTTCAAAAAGCAACAGAAAGAATGACTTCAGTTGTATGTTTACAACTCAACTCATTTTATATTATGACAGTACACCATTTCTAATAATTAATATAATCTATATGTAAGCTCACTTTGACAGTGAATCGCATATTCTTTCAACAAATAGTTATATATCTCTAAATGCAAGGCATGATTGAGATATCAAATATAAAAATTGAGACTGAAAACTTAAACACTGGTCCTTTAAACCCATGTCTCAAAAAGTAACATCAAAAGAGTTGTATTTATATTATCAATTTTTAGTTTTAAAATAGTAGTAACTAGAGGCAAATATCTACACTTATTCATTCTGATTATTGTACCTACATCTTGCAGCTGA